ATCATCATCATAAATCGTGAGCTAATAATTCAAGTTATGGAATGTAGAAGGGCACTTTTAGCTTCCCACATTAAAAATTTCATTTTAAAGAAAGATTTGAATGTAGATTGTTAGAAAATTCAGCCGCGAATTCCACTTGTAAATTCTGGACCCCATTGGAAATACGGAAAAATTGAAGATGAAAATTGGTTAAAATTTCGAACCTTGTTTTTAAAGATATATTTCAATATAGAGTGTTAGAAAATTCAACCACAAATTCAAAGAGGTATCCCAATTGTAAATCGGGATACAATAACTCAAGTTATGGAACTTGGAAGTGCAGTTTTGGGGTCCAATTCTGGGTTCTATTGAATTACGGAAAAATCGAACATGAAAAGGGGCTAAAATTTAGACCATCTCCTAAAAGATATTTTTTAACGTAGATAATTTGATAATTCCGCCACAAATTCATAGAGGTATCCCACTTGTGAATCGGTACACAATAACTTAAGATATGGAATTTGGAAGTGCAGTTTTGGGGTCCCATTCTGGGTTCCATTAGAATTACGGAAAAATCGAACATGAAAAGGGGTTAAAACTTCGACCATCTCCTAAAAGGTATATTTTAACGTAGAATATTAGAGAATTCCGCCACAAATTCATAGAGGTATCCCACTAGTAAATCGGTGTCCAATAACTCAAGATATGGAATTTGGAAGTGCAGTTTTGGGGTCTCATTCCGGGTTCCATTAGAATTACGGAAAAATCGAACATGAAAAGGGGTTAAAACTTCGACCATCTCCTAAAAGGTATATTTTAACGTAGAATATTTGATAATTCCGCCACAAATTCATAGAGGTATCCCACTAGTAAATCGGTGTCCAATAACTCAAGTTATGGAATTTGGAAGTGCAGTTTTGGGGTCCAATTCTGGGTTCTATTGAATTACGGAAAAATCGAACATGAAAAGGGGCTAAAATTTAGACCACCTCCAAAAAGGTATATTTTAACGTAGAATATTTGACAATTCCGCCACAAATTCATAGAGGTATCCCACTTGTGAATCGGTACACAATAACTTAAGATATGGAATTTGGAAGTGCAGATTTGGGGTCCCATTCTGGGTTCCATTAGAATTACGGAAAAATCGAACATGAAAAGGGGTTAAAACTTCGACCATATCCTAAAAGGTATATTTTAATGTAAAATATTAGAGAATTCCGCCACAAATTCATAGAGGTATCCCACTAGTAAATCGGTGTCCAATAACTCAATATATGGAATTTGGAAGTGCAGTTTTGGGGTCCCATTCTGGGTTCTATTAGAATTACGGAAAAATCGAACATGAAAGGGGTTAAAACTTCGACCATCTCCTAAAAGGTATATTTTAACGTAGAATATTTGATATTTCCGCCACAAATTCATAGAGGTATCCCACTTGTGAATCGGTACACAATAACTTAAGATATGGAAATTGGAAGTGCAGTTTTGGGGTCCCATTCTGGGTTCCATTAGAATTACGGAAAAATCGAACATGAAAAGGGGTTAAAACTTCGACCATCTCCTAAATGTTATATTTTAACGTAGAATATTAGAGAATTCCGCCACAAATTCATAGAGGTATCCCACTAGTAAATCGGTGTCCAATAACTCAAGTTATGGAATTTGGAAGTGCAGTTTTGGGGTCCCATTCTGGGTTCCATTAGAATTATGCAAAAATCGAACATGAAAATGGGTTAAAACTTCGACATTCGATCAAAAGATATATTTCAATGTAGAATTTTAGAGAATTCGACCAGAAATTCAAAGAGGTATCCCACTTGTAAATCGGAATAGAATAACTCAAGTTATGGTATCTAGAAGTGCAGATTTTGGGTTCCCGTTCTGGACCCCATTGGAAATACGGAAAAATCAAACATGAAAATGGGTTAAAATTTTGACCCTTGCCTAAAAAATATATTTGAATGTAGAATGTTAGAGAATTCAACCACAAATTCAAAGAAGTATCCCACTTGTAAATCGGTATACCATAACTACAGTTATGGAATCTGGAAGTGGAGATTTTGGGCTCACATTCTGGACCCCATTGGAAATTCGGAAAAATCAAACATGGAAATGGGTTAAATTTTCGACCCTCGCCTAAAAAATATATTTGAATGTAGAATGTTAGAGAATTAAACCACAAATTCAAAGAGGTATCCCACTTGTAAACCGGTATGCAATAACTAAAGTTATGGAATCTGAAAGTGGAGATTTTGGGCTCCTATTCTGGACCCCATTGGAAATTCGGAAAAATCGAACATGAAAATGGGTTAAAATTTCGACACTCGCTTAGAGGATATATTCTAAAACTAACTAACTAACGTTTAAAAGAAAGTTTTGAAGTTAGATTATAAGAGAATTCAGCCACAAACTCATGATTAAAGATATTTACAGGAAGTGGGAGAATCGCATCAATCATTTGTCAGCCATAAAAATTCGTCACACACGAGTATTAAATTATATAACGAAAAAAAGCCAGAATATCTTTGCTGAAAAAAACGGCAAAAATTCTTAATGGTTGCGTGCAATGAAATGACCTTGTAAGTTATGAGACCTATGGGGGGCCGGACTTAACAGTGGGTCTGGAAAAATCCTGCGGGAAGTGAGCCCAAGGCTTAACGATGGACGGTCACTCCTGTGAGGCATCGAATGGAATTGCGATCCTGGCATGTATGTCCTCGTCCTGCGAATGCTTTAACCCACACCCACCAACTCACTCGCCTGGTGTGCCCACTCACATGTGAACCTTTATTGGAAAACATTATTATTTATGGCTTTTTGAATGACATCGCTTGAACTTTTCAAGCAATAAAGTAACGTACAATAATATTTCCTTATAACGGAAATTGCAAGCGCACAATTTTTCTATAAAAAAAACGAAAAAAAGGACAATTTTTAGTTTTGATTTATGAAGATATTCATTAGTTCGGTTGATCGAAATTGAGTTAAACAAACAAGATTTACAACCAGGGGGATTAATATAAATGGCGGTGTGCTTGTCTTTATTTCGGCAAGATTTCTAGAATGTTTTAATATGTTTTTCTCAAAAAAACAGTTCAAATGATTAGAATCATTTTAAAAACTTTTTTTAATATACCAGAGACGAAAATGTAGTTAAACAGAAAAATCTGTAAGTCCCGTCTCTTCGTTTTAAGCTACTCTTAGCTGATATAGTAAAAGCTTGAAATATTTAAAAATAGTATAATGTTAATATTTAAAGGAAAACTAAGTATTACTCTTTTTGAAATGTTATAAGAAAACAAATATCATACAGCGTGGGAAGTCTTATCTCAAGCTCTTAACATTAAGAAAATCCCACCAAACAAATAAATTCCGATGGAATCTAAAATGAAAATCTTAAGCAACTTTATTTCAGGCAATTGACGCGCAAGAAACCCAATAGTTAAAGGGTTCGGGATTAGGGGTTCAAGTCCTTGGCCATTTGAAACATGTAAGGGATGCGTGGCCGTTTAAGATTTGATCAAATAACGACAAGCAAAAGGATTATTTTAAGTAATTGCTAGACATTGTTTAGTGGGATGTTGAGGACAGAAAGGACCCTACGGTATGGGTTATTTTATGTGCAAATTTGGTTCGACTTTAAAGTGAAATATAGCCAGAGCTGAGACTATTTGTTTTTATTTACTTAACCAATGCGATTACATAGGCGACTTCGGCTTATTTACTGTCATGTCGTGTGTCGGTGTGTATGTATTATCTGTGGGTATATCTCCGAGTTATATATGTTAGATACGGGCTCCAGGCGCATGACCCATTCCTGAACTCGTGCAAAGCTTTTTGCTGGCGACGGCGCCACGAACCTCTGCCTTCTCGCTCTAAGCCACATGATGCCATCCTTGTCGGCTGTGTGTGTAGGGTGCCGTGGAGTCAAAGTGTAGATAGCAAGCTGCCATAGGACGAGGCAACAAGGATGTTGAATACATATAAAAATGTCTAAGGTGGAGCAGAAGCCATGACTGCGGCCATGACAGCGATAATGTATACGGGAGTGGGGAGGGATCCCCCACTTCCACTGCCTCACCCACATCCTGGGGGGCGAAGTGTAGGTGGGTCCTGGCGCAGTTGTAGGGTTGCCAGGACTCGGTCGCATCCCAAAACCCACCTTCTGTCCACCCACTCTCATCGTTCCCGGGCTTTCTCGCTATTTGAGTTTGGCTCCTGGTTCACTTTGTGGGTATTAAGTTCCTTTTAAGGCTAAAGACAAACGTCTCCATCTCTTTCACCGCACCTTTCTCCATCTCTCTCATTTATATCCTGGTTGCACTTTTTGTGCGCCTGCCAAATGAAAACTGTACGGGTGAAGGTGAGGCAAAGTCTTTAAAGTTGCACAAAGGGGATTAAGATGGTTCCCACATAATTAATCAGCTGACCGCCTTCCATTACTGCACTAACTTTTAGCCCTGGAACAAGATTTCAGATGAGAAACTATTCAAAAGTAGTTGTAAATAATTCTAAACACCTCTACATATCTCTATATCATTTTCTACAACACCTATACAATGCAATCCTCCATAACTATCCACATTGAGTAGAGAAAAAGCCAGTCCGGCCACTTTTTATGAGGCACTTAGTTAAACGATATGGACCAAAGAAAAGCCCTGGGCAGCAGGGGTAAACAGCCCATGGAAAGTGGTCTGTAGAGGCAACCCCAAGGAATTTGATGCAGCTGCCAAGTTGACAGCCCTTCCTTATCCGACCGTCGTTGAGGGAATTTGTTTTGGTCCCGGACGCTGGTTTTTTATCGCGCTGATGGGCCAAGCGGGAGACTTTTGTTTTATCGCTGCCAATACATCAGCCATCAATATGATTAACTCACACGGAATGTGCCAAAGTGCCGAAAATCAAATTAAATTGCCCTGATGTAAGTGTTAGTGACATATACGGACAGCGTCCACTCGCTTGATTTATGCATTGCAAATCGATAGTTTGTGTTTGTCCTCTGAGAAAAGGGATCAGTGTCAGATGTGTGCAGGCGGTAAAAATATAATTTATATTCACATCTCCAAGATGTGTACTAAAAATGGGGAGTACAAAAATTCTTTCACAAGTTTACCAGAGGCTGTCACTTCTTATTCATCCGCTGCTCATACTTTTCCTCAATAAACTGAAAAACAGAATCGATGGCCGAGTACGAAGTCCACTCGTGCTTGGTGTGTCCAGCAGAAACCTTCCGGATGCTTTTATTTGACTGAGAGACGGGAGTGTCCAAGGGTGAGCTGCTGGCGACCCAATCGCAGGCCACTTCGCACAGGTAATCCCTGTTCTTCGCCTGGGGACTTCCCATAGCCGCATCGGTAAAGGCAATCGCAAAAACAGATTCTTTAAAGAATTTCGAATAGTTGTCCACCTAATAAGGTAAAACAATAATATGATATTGAAATGAATCTTTAATTTGGATTTCTTACCAGATCCAAAGTGAGACAACCACCATAGCTGTGACCCACAATTGCCACACTCTCCGGATTTGATGGCAGTACTATATTTTCCCAAACATATTTCATGTGGTCTCTGGACGTTTCCACGCCCTTGATGGGATTCTCTTTTCCATTGTAGAATCGCTTACAATCATTAGCATTGGTAATAAGCAAATCGTACCCGAGCTTCTGCGCCTTTCGCACATAAGGAAGCTGCGAGCCGTGGTCCAGCGAGTTGTTAATAATTAAACTGAAAAAAAAACATTTTTATGATCAAAAATGAAACTAATACAATTCTTTAAAAATATAGACCTTGAGTAATGAGTAATAAATGTAATGTGCCTCGCCATGCCCTAGAGCTTAATTTACTTAAAGATTTGCTCTCCTAAGGGAAACATTAAATGCTATAGTTTTTCCCCAAGAGCTAATAAACGAAAATGTGATAACATTCCAATCTTTAGTTTCAGTAAATTAATTTTTGATTGTAAAAATGATTTTAGATCTTTTCAAAGTATTATTCAGTTGACAGTTATAAACTTTTAGCATTATGTTTTTTAGAGTTTTACAAAATGATTACAAAAAGCGTAAAATGATTTGGAAATTGTTTAGGGATCATACACACCTTCTGGCCCATTGTCCTGCATTAACGAGTCCACTACCATGAATAAGGACTAGCAGCTTCTTGGACTGCAACAGCTTCGACGGTTGGGAAAAGACGAACGTCGAGCGCTCTGGAGCCTGGTCGAAGGGAATGTAAGTGCGGCTAAGGCCGTTTTTCTCCAACAGATCATAGACAATTTCCGGGATTTGCTAACCAAAAATGAACACAAAATGATATTATAACGAAATGTAACCAAAAAATGAAAAATTAATTTCTTAAAGATAGAAATAGTTATTAAAAATTTTATATTATGTCAATTCCGAGGATAAACAAAAAAAGTCAATCTTTTCAGATTTATAAAGTATTCAGGTACATACGTTGGCCACATTCTGGTAGTGCCTCTCGTTTTCGGCGGGATCGCTTTTGACGTTATAGGAATAGGGCTCCTTGCCGGGTTCGTCTGTCGCGGGATCGATTTTGCGCAGAACTCCCTCTGCAGGAGATTATCGGAAAGGTAATCATCATAGCACTATTATTTGGAGTTCACTTACCTTTATCAAAGGCGTACCCAATTTTCTTTAACTGGAGTGCAGCCTGCTCAGAACTCCTGGCCGATGAGTTCTGCATTGTACAGTTTCTACGAGGGCGAGATTTAATATCAAAACTCCTTAAATTCATTTTAATCGGGTGGACTTCTGCTCCACCGGATACTTACGGAATAAGAATGGCGCTCCAAAAGTCTTTTATTTATACACAATTGTTGCTCGCGTTTTGTTTTGATTTGTGATGATAAAGGCCGTCTAGAGATGGAATACCATAACCGCGCCACCTACAGGGCATAAAGCTTATATCGATAGCACGAATAGAAGTATCGCCGGAAATGTGAAACCGATTAAAGCTTACTTTACACTACGCGTGCATCTACATCATGGAGTACAATTTAACTTGTTCCCACTTACTAAAAAAATTTAACTATTCCCCAAATACTTCAGGTATAGTTTTGACTAAAATATAGCACAATTTTTAGCGCAATTTTAAATAGAAAACGAAACTATTCAATAAAAACTATCCTTTTATTTTAAAAATATGTGTTGCTTATTAATAGTTTGAATATAAAAATAACAATCAGAATATGTTCCTTGCGTTCATGTATTCTGTAGATTAGGACTTCCATATAGTTCGATTAGCTACACTTATAACTGTGTCCATATAGTCCATAGCTTGCTGAATCCACTTCGAATAATCGCTGACCCGAGTAAAAGCATAAGGCTGCAATGGTGTGCAGGCTTTTTTACCATAGGAAAGCAAGCCAACGAGCCTTTCATTTGCCACATCCATCAATGGGGCTCCCGAGTCTCCCTGGAACACAAGTTTTTTTTATATATCATAAGAAACTGTATCTTTAAAGGATAATTATCTAAACATATTTCAAGTTTAGAAATGTTAATTTACTTTAGTAAGATTTTTAGGTTTTTCGATTTGGAAAATCTATTGAAAAGCACATCCAACAAACAAGTTCTAGGTAAAAATTATTAACTTTAAATTAGAAGGATTTTTACATGTTAAGCGAATAGTTCTTGTTAGTTAACAGTTCTTGGAAAAGTTTAATTTTTATTCCGAGACTTGACCACAATGAGATTATACTTTGTCCTCGTGTAGACTTTTTAATTAGCCCACAGAGATTTCTATTTGCTATTCGATTATCTTTTTTTCGAAATATATACAAAATACATACGATCAACTTACGTCACAGGCGCCTTGAGGTCCCTTTAAGTGCACAGCACAGAAGTCAGTTTTGGTAAGGAATACGAATCGGTGCTTCTGCTTACACACATCGTTTCGCATTGTCTGAAAGGGCGTCTCATGGATCTTTTTGATCTTGCCGACAATCGCCCGTCCCCAGCCAATCATAGAAACCTTCTCGCCACTGCCCGTTCTCGGTTTGCCCTTGAATTGAATACTTCGAAATCGCTTGTCATCGAGCGGAAATTTCGGATAGACCCTGACCACGGCAATATCATGGCCGCCGAGCAACTTAAACTGGGGATGCCACTGCACTTGGACGACAAAGAACCGGGTTTGCTTCCGGCTGCCGAGAAAATCGTCGCCACCGGCTACATACTTTTTCGCCTGTTTATGGTTAGGCATTCTTTTAATGCAGTGGGCCGCAGTGAGCAAGAATTCATTCGAAATTATCACGCCTACACAGAGGTGCTTGTAGTATCCTTTGGTGTTGGTACCGATGGAGACGACATAAGGATAGCGAGAGCGGTTAGGATTCGACTTTGCCTCCACCATAGGTGTGCTCGTCTCTGGGGCGTCGATAACTGTAGTTGGGGAGTCGGAAACCGTATCCTGGCTGGCAGACATCACGGTGAACAAAGATGCCAGGCAAAGAGATCTCAAAAGACACATGACTACGACCACGATCCGGTTTGAATACCATGGCTAGGGGTAGCTTTCTACAGCAGATTTTCTTACTAATAAAGCATGAAATTATAATTTTCTGTACTCTTTCTTAGCTAAATATATAACGGTTTTTAGTCGGATTAAAAGTGGTATTATATTCTGCAACTTATTAAAGAGGAGTATCATTTTTAAACAGAGCCAGAAAACTACTGCCACTCAATATACAAGGGATAGAGTTTGGATATAGCAATTTAAAAACTGTTTACCATTTTATCATTAAAAACTCTACATATCATTCATTTTAATTCGCAATAAATGGAAATGGATTTACTTTTAACACTTCGTTAACGTAATAAATGATTAGGTTACTGGTTAGTGGCAGAGTCTTTAAGGCTCTGCTTCCGATTTGCCACTTGGTTAATCTTGGCAAGGCGCTTCATTGTCTCCAGCTCCTTGATGAATGTGGCAAGCGCTTCTTTGGTGGTGGAGATGTCACCATCTTTTAAGTCCTCCAGGCTGTCCTCCTTTTCAAGTTCTAAAAGTAGTTAGGATGTATTATAATCTCCTAAATACCAGTAAGCTTTGGAATACTCACCATCCATTTCTGCCTCAATGTCATTAAGTCGATTCAGGACCAATGATTGCTGCACCTTCACATGCTCGATTAGGCGGTACTGGCACTCCTCTGGATCGATGGCGGCCTCTGGTTGCGGAACGTTCGGAAGGTCAGGATGCTCCATCTTTGGACGCTTCACTGGCGTCAAGGCAGAGGCGTCCACGTTGTCCTCGTCCCACTTCTTAGCCCACAGATAAAGCTTTGGGTGACAGCGATTGCGTGCGATATTGATCTTCACAAGCAGCGAGTGCATTGATCGCTTGGCGTCCAGCAAATTGCCGGTCAGCGTGTGCGAGCGCTTCAAGATATCGAATTGCTTGGTGGCCTGTGGATTGGAAGTGTGGTATGCGGCCACTGGCAGCTTGCCTTCGAACAGCCAGTCCTGGTCGTGCTTGAACCTCATGGAGTCCCTTCCCCTTTGCGGATTTCGACATATGTAGCACACATACTTTTCTGGCACATCAGACTCTTTTACAATACCGTTGCAGGCGCCATGCTGCCAGCACAGACATAACTCGCACTGAATCATTAGACCATCCTCTTCTCCGTACTCGCAAATGCAATTAATGATCTCCTCCTGCCGCATTCGCACAATTCGTATCAGTTCACCGTTTTCCTTAATGTACTGCGGTGCCTTGTTTAGGGGGTCAGCAGGTGGTGGCGCGAGAGCTGCATTAATGTCCGCCTGGTCATTAGATGAGGGCGTCGATACCGAGTCTGCCGTGGCTGGTGAGTCAATGGAGCTAATGGGAGTTGCAGAGGCACCAACGCGACGTTTCTTCGAATCGCTGCGTGCATCGGGAGTCGGGGTGTTAAAAGATTGCCGCGTCTCCTCAGCGTCTTCGTTCAAAGTCTGACCAGCCGGGCTGTCCGTCAAATTGCCGCGACGCTGAGAGCGCTGACGGTTGCTCTTCCGCGAGCCAGATGGGCGCTTGGTGGGCGAATAGCGAGCCCGCTTGCAGGAGCGGCTTAAGGCCGGGTTTGTCGAGACGGCAGCTCCAGCCTCCAGAGAAACATCTTCGTGATTAATGCCACCCTCAGCAGATGACGTTATCGTGCTCGGTGGCTCCATCTTGGGAGACAACAGGGTCTTAGAAGGCGATATCCCAGATGGGGTTCCCGGTGTTCCAGGAGATGTACCCGAAGTTGAAAGAGTCTGACGTTTAAACGACCGCGACTGCTGCAGATCTTGCTGGTGCAACTTAGCGAAGAATTGCTGGTTTGGTATTTGGTTCTTCGGCACCGCATCGCCCTGCTCGATGGATGAGGGATGTGTGCGCTTAACCGCCAGTTCCTGCATCTTTGGGCAGTGGCTCACGTATCTGCGAAGTCAAAGTTTGTTTAGTTTCTCGATTGTCTTGCATGTGAGGTACTTACTCGGCAAATTCTTTGTGGTAATGCCGCATGTGGATGAGCAGAAAGTCTTCTTTGCGATAGGTCTTGCCACAATCTTCGCGAGGGCACACATACAGGTTATCATGCATTTGCACTTTTAAACCGCCAATTAAAGCTGAAGCATATACAAATTAAAGGTTAATAAGAATCTTTTAAAAATTATTGTTTGCTTACCAAAGCCATTCTCGACCAGGGGAGGATCTCCTGGCAGTTGTTGGGCAGCACCTCCCTCAATGGTTTCCAGAAGTTCTGGGGCTGTCTTGGCCTTTGCCTCATCGGTAAGCTGAGCCTGTGGTGACATTAGCTCTGCTGGCGGCATTAGCGAGGCCACCGGTGCTTCCATGTACTGGCTTTCATTCACCGGCATCGGAGTCGAAGGTAACGAGGGTTGCGTTGTGTTGCTCTGGTCAAGACTGGAGTCCATTGACACATCCATGGGCCTGGGCTTCGGAGGTGGCTGCGGATTGTAGTCGTGGGTATAGACATAGGCGTTGATGTCCTTGGCCCGGCGCCGGTGGATGCTAAAGTCGTACACATCGGGGTTGTATACTAGGTCCTGTGACTCCAGGAAAAGTTTTAGGTCGGACTTGGAGCGGAACCGTTTGCCGCTGGGCGAGACCAGAATAACGTCCCACTTCCCGAGCACGTTAGAGCGTTGATACATGTGCTTAATCCAGCCAGGAGGCAGGCGCCAGTCCTGCACGATAACCGTGGGTTTCTGGTGCTCGCCCACAATCAAAAAGCCTTCGGTTCCGATTGGCTGGTCATTTACCCAGTGGCAGGTCCACTCTCCGTCGTGCGGTATCTCTGGGAGGCCTAGGGAAGCTGTTAGGTACGGAAAGCAGAAAGTTAGTACATTTTTTTCAAATTGTATTGCTTTTAATAAGAATACGTGAAGTTCAATTAATTTATAGTCTAAGATTATATACTTGCCAAACGTACCTATGTCCAAACTGGCCATATCTAGAAGGGGCCAATCCCTGCGCTGTGGGGCGCTCTTGCTCTTCTTGTTGCTTGACGATCCGCTGGCCCCACTCACGCTGCCCGTGCTGGCTCTCTTTGGGGCCAAAGGTACAGCAGGAGCTGGGGTTCCCACAGGAGTGGGCGTTTTGGACGCCACATCATCTGTTGCCTGGACGGCGGGAAGCTGCTTGGGCATCTTGTTCATGTGCACGGCGCGCACGTTCTTGATGTAGCCATCGTCGAAGAGCACCTCGTAGGTGTCGTTCCCCAGCAGCTTGCGAATAGTGCCTGGGAACTTGCGTGGTCCCGACCAGCGGGCCATGCACTTCTCATCCAACTCGAAGATGGGCAGCACTCGGGTGCTGAGGCGCTGCCTCAGCCGCTCCGACTTGATGGCCATCCACTCCTGGAAGCTGCCGCTTGTCGAGGGCGACACCTTCAGCTTGT